AAAAAAAAAAAAAAAAAAAAAAAAAAAAAAAAAAAAAAAAGAAGATGAAGAAGAAAACAGAAAAAGGGAAAAGATCTGTAATAGGCCTCCAGAATAATAGACATTAAGTTCAATTGTTGAGACAGTTTTTCCATCCTCGCTTACGAAAGGGTAAAAATGTCAATAACCTGATGTGGAAATACTTACAGAAATAGTTGCAGTTTATAGTTAAACTGGCTGTTGGCTAGTTTGTTAGGAAACGACTAATTAGTTTGTTAGGAAACGACTAATTAGTTTGTTAGCTGGTTAGTTTACTTGATAACTAGTTATGAGTCGCTGACTTGTGTATAGTATAAATACTAGTGGCCCCCGGTGTAAAAAGGCAAATTTTCCAATTAATAATGAACGTTAATTTGATTGGTCAAAGTAATGGCATGAAGGAAAATGCAGAAAATAATTGGAATAAGATCGTGTTAAGTACAAAGTTATATGGGTCAAATGTTAACTTCATTCATTCGTTGATTTGCTAAGAGAGTCCCTAAAGTAAATGGGCTTCCTATCAACCACCACACCAAACTACTCAAAAAGGATAACCACTTAAGATCTTAACTGATTGACATGAAAATATAAAATACCTTTAATTTCTCGATCACAGTATTCAAATGCTCATTTTCATTCATCAATTTCTCTATCTCATCAGCCTTTGCCTGCAAGAAATCAGATTTGTTACTTGAGAAGAGAAAGAAGCATACAAGGAAAGGAACATTTCCAAAGACCCCGTCTCAGCTAATGTGCCCTAGACAATCTGATCTTAAGTATCTACTGGTTATTCAAATCTAGTCATTTTTCCAATGGCAAGAATAACCATGTAAAAGGCTTTAGGCTCAAAATCTATCTTTTTTGAGAGCCCAACAACATATAGGGTGGGGGATTTGAATCTCTGACCTGGTCAAGAGTATCTTTACCGACAAGGTTCAAGGTAAGGTTTGCCACATTAAGTACCTGAGCTTGTCTTACTGCACCCTGCAATGCTGTTTCCTTTTTTTTCATTTCAGCCTTCACCTTCTCTAGTTCATGCATAGAATCTAAATGAGTAGGTGTATTTTCCTCTGAGCTGAAATCTCGCTCTTTAGCTTCTTTCTCACTACCTTGGGGTTCCTGATTCGTTTCGGTTGCTTTAATTGCTAGATCACTTTCATGAGAATCTGAATTAGAAGTGCGCAGAAAAGCCTCATCAAAAAGAGGAGCATTGGACAATTCACTTGCAGAAACTTCACGAGGACCTTCTTTTACCTCAGTGCTACCAGAATGTATGCTAGAAGTTTCACTACCACCTTCACCCTGATTATCATCAGAAGACTCGGATACAGTATGAGGAATCGTTTTTAAGACCTCCTTTTCTTCTGTTTTCAATTTATCAGTAATCTCAACCTCAACCATTGGTTCATTTATCCTATCTGCTAGCAATATCTGTTCATTACTTCTGTTATGCACATCAAAAGAACTCAGAGATTGAACCAACAGCTCATTACTTCCTTCATCTTGATATATATCAGTTGCTTCTGACTTGGTATCTAACTCTGGAAGTTTGGAAGTTTCCATTTCTGAAAACTCTTTCTGCTGTAAGTTGTGAGTGGAGTCTGAAATTTCTGCAGTGGGTTCAGGACTTTCGACAGACATTCTTGGTGAATCGTGATCGGCTTTATCAAGGGGTTCTGACGCGTCATTATTCTGGACAGAAGACCCAAGAACTTCAATAGGAGAGACTGAAGATTCAGACTCTGCTTCTCCTTGGCTTTCCTTTTGTACGTCGTCTGGTCTGTCATCATCCTGTTCTGTGGGCACTTCAACTTCTCGAGCACTTGGTTCCCTTAAAGACGAAGGAACTGGCTGCTCAGTTTCAATGCCTTCCTTTTTATTCAAATCATATTGAAGCTGTGAAGAGTCCTGTTTCTCTGATGATTCCCCAACTTCTGTGGGAATTAGTGAAGATTGTGATTCACTTGATGACTCGTCTACTAAACTTTCATCAGTTTTATTCTGCCCAATTAATGCCCTGACTGGATCAAAGAGTGTTTTCCCTTCTGTAGCTGATTGCCAGAATCCAGGAGCTACAGGGATATAAAGAGGCATGAAAAGAAATTGGCATTAAACTGGCTTTTTACATTTGTAAAGGCATTGACCAACTCCTGAATCTCAAGAATCATGGATTAACACTATGGCAGTGCAAGAACAACCAGGAAAACATACCCACAGAATAATACTAAATTTTCTTTGTGACAATTATATTTGAGAACAAACGTTTCTAATTTTTTCCTTTTTGTGCTTGATTCCAAGAAAAATTGTGGCCCCAGTTGCACTAGCAGAACAACCGGAAATTGCAAACTGCAGACACTTCCAAATGAAAAACAATATGGAAGGAAAGCATCAATGATTTTATCCAACACTAAGTTCGATAGACAAGGACTTCAGTATATCTTAATTAAGAAATTTTAATCACATTAACCATTTCATAATCATTTGTCTAAGCAGAAAAATGCTTTTTTCTGCATCCTTCGAGCTTTCCTAGAGATTAAGTATCATAGAAAAAATGTTCGTTCAAATACCAAATAATAATAGGCAACATAATAGAAAAGTGTATACTTACCATCACTGCTGGGCTCCGACTCCGGCTCCTCTTCAAACCCAAGAGCAGAGTCAAAATTCTTCTCAATATTCTTCACGCTCTCTTGGAGCTTATTTACCGCGCCAGCAAGATCCGGAAAGTTACCCAAAGAAACCTTCCCACCAAACCAAGCCATTTAAGAACAAACGATAGATCTCCAATTCAATCAACTAATGCTAGCGCATACAGTCCCCAGCTAATGCTGAAAAAGAATAAACGAGATAGAATTCAATTAACTGAGAAAGCTTGTTGACAAATATAATAGTAACTACCAAATCAACCAAAATTAGCGGGTAACACTCATTGAAAATTAGAAATATGATACGGTGGGCGGGGGCTTTCGCCAGTGAGCTTCATTTCCATCGAAGACATTAATCAACATTTTCTTCATTGATGACACAATGCAAGAAACGAAAAATTAATACAAGAAGAGGTGTAAGATCCACGCAGAAATGGATCAGAATAAGCAGTGGGAAATTAGTGGAGGAATGGAAAGAATTAAGTTATGATCCTAATGCAAAACTTATGAGAACCTCGTCATCCACACCGGAAGAGAATCCAATTGGGTATTGATAGGAGCAGTGAATGCCATAATCACATCATGGAGTTTCTCTATTGAGCTGCGGACAATGTTGTAGACAATTGTCTTTCAATTCGAAATTTAGAATAGAGAAAGATCGAGACGGTGGGCAGATGAAACGGGGAGTTCGGCGTTGGTTCCGTCGCAGTGAGTAGGTTTGTCACACCGTGGGTTTCGTCAGATACACAGATCTGGTTCAGTGCCACCGCCGTCGCACGTTGCTTGCCGGAGAAGAGGCTGTCGCCGGCGCGTGGTGGTTTGCCGGGATTAACGTTAGAGGGCTGGAAGAGGAAAAAACAATGGTGAGAGAGGTGAAAGAAAAATAAATAAGGGAAGGAAAAGAGAGAGAAGAAAAATTAAAAGTATTCTTTCACGTTTCAAAAGTATTCTTAAATTTTTAAATTTTTTATTAATATATTTGAATTTTAAAAAAAAATTAAAAGTACTATTACACTTAAAAATTAAAAAAAAAAATACTTGTATATGAATTTTTTTAATATAATCTTAGGACATTTTAAAGTTATTAATGTAATCTTGAAATTGTCAAATAAAAAAATCATGTTCGAGTTATAAATTAAATGGTCTAGTACATGAATAAGGTTTGATGTCTTATACTAGTAATATTATTGATACGGTTCACTTTGTAATTATTATAAATGATTTGATCAAATCGTTTATATGAAAACATGTGTGAGTAGGGATGTCCTATGCAAGGAAGGTGTATAAAACTAAACCATGAAATATTTAATCTTAAAATGAGTTATGAACTCCTGGCCGGAAGCGCTTGTCATTTAATTTGCATGGGTGATAATAGCTTTTGTAGTCGATTCAATATGCATAGGGCTAGAGGGTTGTGTGTTCATAAGCATTGGGCATTGGGCTACTTCCTCTAGAGTTGGTGAGTGCGGACGCGCACCGTATGATGATGAGTGCGAATGCACATAGATGATGGTGTTCATGAGGCGCATGACACTACGGGGTTCCAGTGACCTCCGAACGTTGTTATAGATCCCTAAATCATAGATGAGCATGAGATGTAGATAGATCCCAAGTGGTGAGTCTAAATATGAGGAAATTTAGGGGTCGTTATAGTATGTGTAACGACCTAGGCCCATTGCGCAGATATTGTCCTCTTTGGGTTTTGGGCTTCTCCTCAATAAGTGTGTTTTGTTCTTGTCCCCCAACCAATGTGGGACATCACATTGTTCTGGAAGAGGTTTCCACACCCTTATAAAGGGTGTTTCATTCTCCTCCCCAACCAATGTGGGACATCACAATCCACCCCTTAGGGTCCTCTTCCACACCCTTATAAAGGGTGTTTCATTCTCCATGTCACCCCTTAGGGTCCTCTTCCACACCCTTATAAAGGGTGTTTCATTCTCCTCCCCAACCAATGTGGGACATCACAATCCACCCCTTAGGGTGTTTCGTTCTCCTCCCCAACCAATGTGGGACATCACATCGTTCGTTCTGAAAGAGGTTTCCACACCCTTATACAGGGTGTTTCGTTTTCCTCCCCAACCAATGTGGGACATCACAATCCACCTCTGTAGAAGTTTCCACACCCTTATAAAGGGTGTTTTGTTCTCCTCCCCAACCAATGTGGGACATCACAATTCACCCCTTTAGGGCCCAGCGTCCTCGCTAACACTCGTTCTTTTCTCCAATCGATGTGGGACACCCATCAAATCCACCCCCTAGCACTCGTTCCTTTCTCCAATCGATGTAGGACACTCGTCAAATCTACTCCCTTTTAGGGCCCAACGTCCTTATTGGCACACCTCCTCATGTCTACCCCTCTTCGGGGAATAACCTCCTCGCTGGCACATCGCCCGATGTATGGCTCTAATACCACCCACCGCTAGCAGATATTGTCCTCTTGGGCTTTCCCTCAAGGCTTTAAAACGTGTCTACTAGGGAGAGGTTTCCACACCCTTATAGAGGGTGTTTCGTTCTCCTCCCCAACCAATGTGGGACATCACACATTTAATACAATCTTGTTTGCGTCTTCCTTCATATCATATCATTTATCTTATCTTGCATGCATATGTCAGGGTTGTATTTCATATTAGTTCGTCGTTTTGCATGTCAATCATATCATTTATGTCACACATATATCATATCATAACATTTCCATGATTTCAGATATAAAAATCCACCCTGTACACATATCATAACTTTTCCATATTTCCAACATAACAATTCTCATCGTGTACATATCATACGTATCATATATCACAACAGTTATATAATATAACCTATGTATGTTTTCCATATATCACACCATGACATATCGTATCACAATATATCATAACAATTTATCACATATATCGTACTATAACACATCATATTACAACATATATATATATATATATATATATATATATATATATCTGTCGTTCACATGTCGTATCATAATCATATCATTTCCTAAACTTGTCATAGCCTCATCGTCTTTATACACCTCATAGTCGTATTATTTCATGAACATACCTTAGTCATATCTTTTCCTAAATGTATCCTAACCATATCGTTTTATCCATATATCATAACCATATCGTTTTCAATACATAGCCTAACTATATCGTTTTGTCAATCTATTATATCCATATCGTTTTCCATACATAACCTAACCAAATCATTTCATGAACAAATCTTAGTCATATCGTTACATTACGTTTATTGCATCCTTCTCATATCCTATTTCAAACATATCATTAAACACATCATACCGTAAAAGTTATCATACCATTCACATATCAACATATACATATCCTATCATATCATAGTCATATTCATTCATAAACAATTCACACATATCAAATATAACCATGTTGATAGTAAGGTCACTTACCTAAGCTTAGATTGATGTCACCCGTTTATTCGTAATGAAAGTTTGATTTTGTCCTTTGTATCCAAATCAACCTATATGAATCTATGACATCAATTTCACGTTCAATTTTCTAAATTACAATGGTCCATGTGTTAGACTTCATGCGAGCATTAAAAAATTTGCATTAGTAGAGTCTTGGAACGTTATAACATATATATATATATATATATATATTATCATATTTTTATTAAAGATCTCATTTTCTAATATTAATGTTTGAGGGAATATATTATTTTTGTTATATGAAAGATTTTGATGGAAATTTTGATGAACGTTACAACAAACAAAGCAGCGCTGATCCGACCTTGTGAGGACAAAGACAAATGAGCGCCATGATGCGACTGAGGAGGACAGTGCCAACCAACACTCCATATTATGTGTGCATTGAAGAGAGGCGAGACACAAAAGATAGGGAGAGCGAGTAGATATCAGTGTTAGAGATAGGCTTGTGGAAGGGTCGGGTAGGGCCCAGGTCTTAACCTCAAAATTTGAGGTTCTAGAGAAAATTTGGGCATGCAGTTCTTGAGTCAAGTCCGTCCATTTGAAATATAAAAGCTCGCAAAATGTGGTGTCAGTTGGACACCGAACAACGCTCCGCGACAACATATGACCATTTGTCAAAATGACGTCTACCCAAGAAAGACAGAAAACGACTCAAAATGTACTATAAAAACCATGGTGTTAGCTCTCCACCACCCCTAGCCCTATAGGCTAAGCAAGCTACCATGTGGCATATACGTGTGTCACAGTGAGGGTGAGAGTTGTGAGACGAGTGTCTTGAGTGGCTTATTTTGAAATGAGTATTTCAAGAACAATGTCGAACGACGCAGGTCTGTCAACATTGGGCTCCAGTCCATGTGTCAAAGGTTAGATCAAAGGTTGGATCATACACTCAATATTCTGTAAGGAATTCATAAATGATATTGCATGGACACGAGAGGGTCCAATGCCTTGATAGAATTTGGATGAATGGATTTTCAGGATGTCTATATTGATATTATAAAGACATGTGGATCCATTCTCAATGGCATGACTAAGTGAGTAGTGATGACATCAAGACATGAGCCATACTAAATTGAGAGCCTAGATGATGTTGGGATGCGGCATTGTGTTGAGAGACTTTGGCCCGAGTAGAAGCAAGGTTGAGGCGAATGACTTGACCTAATATAGAGGCAAGTCGGTTTGGTCGCATATGATTGAAAATACATGTGAAGGCACTATGTGTGGCCGAAAAATTTTGGATTCCACACAAGTTGTATATGGCGGGTAAAAACAAACCTCTCCTAAGGTCTGACAAAGTCACAAAGCTAAGCAAAAAATGAATATGAGGCTTGGGTTCTCCTCAAGTCTAGTCATGAGCGTGTCAAGATCACGACGTCGCCTGTTTGAAAATATACTACCATGACACCCCACCTCACCATGTAGATATCTCTACCTATTACTCAACTTTCTTTTTGTGTGATCACTCTATTTAGTTTATTAACCATATTAATCCTCCCATGCCACAAATACTATTCGGAGGTTCAAGAAAATTGTTCCACCAACAACAAAAGATGAACGACAAATAATATTACGAGCATAATCATAAAGTTTGTGAGTTCAACGTGATAGAGCAAAACATTATAAACGTGAGAGTAAAGGCATATTCACCAAAGTTTTAGCATCTATTTGAAGGAGTTTCCAATGTCAATCACGAACCGATATCGAACATCGGATTTCTCTAGGCGTTCGATGGCAGTGTTAATATCGTCCATACGAATCAGCTCAATCTCTGCTGTGATGTTATGTTTACCACAGAAATCCAACATCTCCTGTGTCTCTTTCAGCCCTCCAAAGTTGCTTCCACCAACCATCTTCCTACCGAGCACTATAGCAGCAACTGGCAGTTCTAGTGGCTTGTTAGGTAACCCCACAGTCACCAACTTTCCATTCAGCTTTAGCAGACCAAGCAATGGAGCAAGAGCATGGATAGCTGATACCGTGTCAATAATGTAATCCATCGTCCCCATCGCAGCCTGCACACAATCAACAAGCATTACACAAGATTTGGGAGCTACTTTAGTGGGGATATTGTCCGCCCAAACCCATCGCTAACAGATATTGTCCTTTTTGGACTTCCTTTTCGTTTCGAGCTTACTCTCGAAGTTTTTAAAACGCGTCTACTAGGGAGTACTTTCCACACCCTTATGAAGTGTGTTTCTTTCTCCTCTCCAATCGACGTGGGATCTCACAATCCACCACCTTCAGGGTCCAGCGTCCTCCTCGCTGACACTCATTCTTTTCTCCAATCGATGGGGACCCCATCAAATCCACCCCCTTCGGGATCCAATGTCCTTACTAGCACACTACCTCGTGTCTACCCCTTTGGGGAACAACACTCGTGTCTACCCCCTTCAGGAACAGCCTCCTTGCTAGCACATCGCCCGATGTCTGACTCTGATTCTATTTGTAACAGCTCAAGCCCACTACTAACAGATATTACCCTCAAAGTTTTTAAAACACGTTTGTTAAGGAGAGGTTTCCACACCTTTATAAACAATATTTTGTTCTCCTCCCCCAACCGACGTGGGATCTCCCATTAAGACTTAGTTAAGACTCAATTAAGACTTCAACCAAACCCTAAGCCCTAAGCCCTGAACCCTAAACCCTTAGGCTTGAAACAACGAACCTTCAATTGTGCAGGATCACTCGAAACAACGAAAGCATCGGCACCGAGCCTGTCGATAGCTTCCTCCTTCTTTCTCGGAGACGTACTAATGACAGTAACTTTCAACCCAAATGCCTTACCAAACTTAACAGCAACATGACCAAGCCCACCAAGTCCAACCACACCCAAATGCTTACCAGATTCAGTCATTCCATAGTATTTCATAGGGCTATAGATTGTGATTCCAGCGCACAGAAGAGGAGCTCCGGCATCAAGGGGTAAGTTGTCGGGAAATCGGAGCACGAAATGCTGATCGACGACAATGCTATCAGAATAACCACCATAAGTCTTTGCTCCATCATATGAATGTCCATTGTAAGTATATATCAACTTGGGGCAGTAATTCTCTAAGTTTTGTTCGCAGTTTTGGCAACTTTTGCAAGATCCAACTATGACACCTACCCCTACTTGATCGCCCACTTTGAATTTGTTCACATTGTTCCCAACAGAAGTCACAACACCAACAATCTCATGCCTGAAAAACATCAAATCCCATATTTCATATCAAATTTTGCCAACACACCATATGTTTTTATTGCTTATTTGTAACGTACCCTGGGACTATTGGATAATCTGTGACACCCCAATCGTTCTTCAGCAGATGCAGATCTGAATGGCAAACCCCACAGTAAAGGACTTTGATACTCACATCATCGCCACCATTTTCTCTGCCAAAACAAAAATAATATTGAGATGTTAGGAATCTACGTTACGTTAGTGGTGAACTTGGACGGTTACAAATGGTATCTAAGCTAGACACCAGGCGATGTGTCAAAGGAGGCTAAGCTCAAAAGGGGTGGACACGAGACGGTGTACCAATAAGGATACTGGGTCTCGAAGGTGGGTGAATTGGGTGTCCCACATCGATTAAAGACAAAAACGAGTGCCAATAAAGTATTTGGGTGGATTGCGAAATCCCACGTCGGTTAGAAAGAGAAACAAAACATTCGTTAGGTGTTAGTAAAAGAAATTGACCTTCGACAGAAATGAAAGGGGGAGAGTAAGCCAGAAGAATCCCTAGCAGCCCATCCGAAAGCCTTGTTTGGATGTTCATCTTGGGGTGATTTGGCCATTTGAGAGTGGTGAGTTGAGTGTAAAGTGGCATTGAGAGGCTAAATAGGCAATATTATGTATGTGGTTGGTTGGGAAGTGGATGGATTTCATCTAACACCCTTCAATGCCAACAAGTTGTTGGTGAGAGATATTAATTCCATTCAATTTCCTTTCTCAAACCTTATCGATTTCAGATAATAGCAGCCTCATAAATGTAGCGTAATTTCTTCTCTCCGAACGACTTAAATCTTTGTGTATTTATTTTAATTTCTATTCATAGATTTTGAGTGTGATCGATTTAGTTTCTGCTTCTATTACAACAATTGGTATCAAAGTATTTTGGTTGTGACATTTCGGTACTGTGAAAGTCTTAAGATACAAAATTTCAACAAAATATGTTATTAACTAATTCAACAAAATTTCCAACTATTTATAAAATGAATATAACGCATCAATCCATTAACATACATCCGCAAAATGGAGAATGAATTTCAGTCCCTACCACAAATAAAAAGTTATTTAAGAAAGCTTCAAATCTAAGCCTTCTAAACTAAGCTTACACACTAAAATTACTTGTGAATTTGGAAACTTATGCTCTATACCATTTCTGAAATACCCAAAACTGTTTCCCTTTGAAAAAAATTGATGCATCTCTATGAATACTAAGAATTATATATATATAAACTGTAGGAAGCTCAACATATCTCTTAGCTCCTTCATGCTCGAGGTCGGAACCAACTCAGTCATGTACCCGCGACTCGCTCGATTTCTTCAAGGTACCCAAAATCCCATCAATCAGCTTTTCCTTGTCATTTTCATCCGTGTCTAAAACAAAAGAATAGCTCTTTTGATGTCTATGCTTACGAGCAAAGCTTCCTGTATTTGCTTCATTTTTGGCTGTTAAACTAGAGACCTTCAAACTATTTTCAAAACAATCGTTCATCTCGTCGCTGTTTTCTGACTTGTTTTTCCTACTATTGTCTTCTTTGTTGCCATACCATGAATCAAGGATCTGTAGTAATGGGCTTTCTTCCTTATTTGTTTGTGGCTTTGCTTGCTCTTCTGATCTCTGTGTAGTAGGACAAGACTCTCCATCAGACTCTGTTGATGATTCATCCTCTAAAACCACAGGTTCATAACAAACTTTTGGTCGTTTTTCTGTTGCTTCTGCTGTTTCGCTACTCGATGTCGATTCATCTTCGTTTCTGCTCCTGCAATCTGTGAATGCTGGACCTAATTCTTCCCATGTTGACTCAAAATCATCATCCTTTCGAGGCAGGTCAGATGATTCGTTATCAGAGTTCGCTACAACATGGGAAACCTTTGGGACCTTACCGGTGGGAACTATAAAAGTGGATTCTATTATCACTCCTGGCATTATCTGTAGCAGGGATGCCAACTTTGGGTAACCAAGCTTCTGCAAGTCAAGATGATATCCGTACTTCTCAAGAAACAGTTTTCTGAAAGCCCCCATATTATATCCTTCTGGGTGTTCTCTCAAGATTTCGTCCACAAGATTTTGACAGTCGCATAATATTTCGCTTCTTGTCCTCTCTGGAAACTTGCTTTTAGTCATAGTGGTAGAAATTCCAGCTTGAGGAACATTTTCATTTTTCTTATCTGAATCTGAATCATGTTCTGAAGATCCCTGTAAACTGGGCTGTGATACTCTGTTCATAAAGATTGATGTCAACCCATTTGCACGATGCAGGGGTTTCGTGCAAGAGCTTTTCTCAGCAGTAGAGAGAGTGACCTTGAAAGGATTTGTTTCAGAGGGGCATTCCACGAGCCATTTCTTATCTGATATTAACGATTCTATAAAGTCGAAGAGCTCGCTAGTGCTTAAGGATTTAAGAACCAAAGGTCCTTCCTCTAGCAGTTTCTGAGCCATCTCTGACCTGAAGCAAGTCAGCAGAAAACAAAATTACAAGTTGTAAATCCTATAATATCATACATACAAAGGTTTAAAACAATTTAATTATATAATGTAGAGCTGCAAGTAAATTATAGCTAGATCAATTGTTTCAAAAGCTTGATCTATATTGGGGGAAAAGTCGACACAAGCCATATAATGGGCAGAAATCCAACAGTTTCAATTACTGAGAGTGCAAAAGATATGTGAAAACATAAAAAGAAATATATCAAACCTGGTTTTTGACTGCAAAATGAGCTCCACTCCTTTAGGTGTTTCAATAAAGGATTGCATGTCCTGCCAAAAAGAACTGCTGGAAAAAAGTTGGTGTTTCCCACATTCATTTTTTAACTGGTTCTGTTCGCAACACTGCTCGCTTTCTTTACCAGTCTCAGTATCATTTTCCCGAATCTTGAACCAATTTCTAATGCTACTAAGTACTCCTGGCCTAGATCTTGATTTATCATCATATGCACTAGCAACTACAGCTGTTTTTTGAAGCTTAGCAGGCTCACGATCAGCTGAATTTGAAACTGGATGCACTGAATTAGCATCTTGACTCATTGGCTTTACAGTTTTTCCTTCACTTTTTGCTTCTCCAAGGTTCTGATTAGAATAATTCGTCACATGGCCACAACTTTTCTGCTTAGAAGCATCATCTGATGTGGAACATTTTTCAGAAATGTGATGACTTCCATTTTCAGAATTATGGTCTTTGCTACCTACAACAAACCTTCTCCATATTCTTCTAAAAAACCCCGTCTTGGCCTCAGAATGCTGTCCAATTGAGGGAATCATATTATTGTCAGCTTCAAATTTACTAGTCTGCTTTGAATCTTCCATAACATGTGGCTCAGAGACCGGCCATGTTGATGGTTCCCCTCCCATAGCTTCACCAGTAGACTTAACTAATTCATAAGATGGTTGCACCTTCTCTGGCCTGTCTTGAGCATTTAGTTCACTAGATCGAACGAGTGGTACACTCGTCGATTCTGGTGAGGAACCGTTATTGTTTAACTTTGCAATCAGATTACGATCCTGCTCTTCAGTGCCATTATCAGATGTACCTCTACTGGACTCGAATGGCTCTATGGTCCTTGGAGTGACAATTCGGACGATCAATTGGCCATCACCATTTGTTTGAAGCTTTAAAGTATGTGGCATTGACAATAGAAAGCGTGAAAACTTTTTGTAACCATAATAGTCCCTATCTATAGATATTTTACTCTTTCCCAACTCTGATCGGAGATCTGTAATGGAGATTCCTTTTGGATATAATTTCAAAATGTAACGTATTTCCCTAATGACTGCCCTTGGAATGGGAAGAGGCTTAGGATCTGAACTGATCTCAGAAACCTCCTCGGATCTAATAGAAGATACTTGCTCATTAACTGGAAATGGGTCTTCAAGAGGAACTTTATAATGGCCATACCAAGAACCATACGGTCCATCAGGTGGTTGATTAAAATGCCTTCCGACTAGATTTTCCCCTTTAACCAAAGCATTCCAATGCCACATGATGCTTGCAGCACTGCATAAAACACCAGGAGCACTTTCAGGGCTTGCTAGCAACACATTGTAGTTATTCATTCTTAAGCGGTGCAAAATGCTGGCGAAGTCCCTGTCACCAGAAATTAGAAAAAGATGTGCTGGTGGAGGATTTTGTGAAACCCAACACATGAGATCTACAAGAAGAGACCTATCAGCACTGTTTTTACCACCTACATTGGAAAAATATTACAAGGTGAAGTTCTTCGATAAGTTTTACTAAGACAAACAAATTACAAATTCTTATGCAAATTGCTTTACATTAATCACTGATTCTAGAAAACTTTTCCATAGCCACTAAATCTGGATTGATTGATTTATGATTCTCTGAAGATTCCACAACACATAACTTGAATATTTACAGCAATCCATGCAACCATAATACGAAGCACTCAAGTGTAAGGTGATAACTACCTCAAGAACATGATGATTGATGGGTACAAGTATTCATATTATCCTTTGGCAAGGGAACAAGTTTTCTGTAAATGCCCCAGCTTATGTTCGATCATTACAAGCCTAAAGGGGAAATGTATGATTATATATGCTTAGGCAACGTACTTAACTTTATACAGACTTCTAATCAATTCGCTCATTCAGCATCCTAACACAGCTTTCCACCACAAAATTGAGACACATAAATCAAGTATTAAATAGTATTTTTAACTACCTAAGCTACTAAGAGTAAATTAGGTTACTGCATTTAAATCATACTAGAGAATATGAGAAGATAAGGAAACCTCTCACACGCTCAAGCAAAATACAAAACTCCCAATGTCATACGACTAATATAGATTATTTTTCTAGTTCAAACAATAAATTTGGAGGAAAAATAGCGTAGTCTATGCAGTCCCGAAGAATCCTCAAATGAAATCTTTCTTCACAATGGAAATCGATTCTAATAATATATGAATATACATAAAAAGAAGAAATGTGTTGCAACAAAAAAATAAAATAACCTTGAGGAATGTGGGTAAGGCTAATTCCAGTAGACGAGAGAGCCTCCTGGTTGGTCCTTGAGAGCTGCAAAATGTCACCGAAAGCAGTAATTTGAACCGGACCTTTGATACCATTGGCCCTGACAGCGGCAGTGATCAAATGGGCGACCTTAAACACGTTAACACCAGCAGGAATGTTGCAATTCTCGAAGTCCCACCAAACGGAAACCCTGACATATCGAGACTCTTCGTCGTGGCGCCTAGAAGAAGATGAGGAAGGGAAAGAGTAATTACTGGAAGAAAAAGAAGCTGAAAATTGAGAAAAGTGAAGCAAGAGGGTGCGCGGTGGAGAAGAAGAACAGAGAGAAGAAAGCGAGAAAGTTGAGGAGGAGAAGAGCCTCATCCTAAGGTAATTGAGAATAACAACACAATGGTGGATTCAGGAATTAGGGTTTGAAAGAGAGAAGAAGCCATTCCATTGTCACTGTTGCAATTGGTACAGAGAGGGTTTAGACGGAGGCGAGGAAGAAGACGATCTTAAACCCTACTGCACATGCCGGACACGTGAGAACGAGCTTTGAACAAGCCGAAATTTATAGGAATTTTTTTTTAAAAAAAAATAAGAAACCCAAAGCTGTAATGTAATTTTCAAATTATTAAAAATATAATATTAGAATAATAATATAAAAAAATATTTTACCGTACAAAACATGGACCTGAAAATATATGTCCAAGCCTTTATGTGTTCTAAAGAATACAGTCTGAACCTATGTCCAAGGCTTCTTACGTTCTCAATAGTCTAGTCTAAAACCTGCATCTAAGACATCATACGTTACAAGTAATGTAGTCTGAAAACTTATGTCTAAGGCTTCATACGTTCTAGGGCATAGTCTGAATTCCTATGCTCAATGTCCTCATACATTTCAAGCAGCGTGGTTTGAAACTTGCATCCAAGACGCAGTTTGTAAACCTATATCCAAGGTTTCTTATGTTTTAAATGATGCAATCTGAGTCATGAACATGTTGTCCCGTGAGAGGTGTAGGGGCTTCTTGGATGTCTGAGTATCAGGATCTTGATATTTTCTTGTTTGAGTGGAATCAAGTTAAATGCTTAGGCCATTTGGAGGTCATTTAGACCTTGAAATATACTAAAAGAACTTTAGGAGCATTTTGTTCATTTACCCCCTAAAACTTGATTCAACCTTCCAACACAATCCAATGGTTCTAAAACTTTACACAATCCTTAAACATCTAAAATAAGGTCTAGACCTTATAATGTTTCACAACATTTGGAGGTCAATTGGGTTATGAACCAAATGTAGTTTACCATGGAGCGTTACGGTCATTTTGCATTGTTACTTGGTACTGCTACTTATCCTTATCCAATAACCACTAAATTTCATATATACCTTAATATGTCATATTATTTCAGGCATTAAAATTTTATGGGCAACGGAGTTCATTTAGTGGGTTATTTTAATGTTAATTAATTCATGGTCTAAAGTTGTGAGTATACTCAAAGATTGTATTAGCTTTGAAGACTAGACTTGAGTACACTCAGAGATTGTATTAGCTTGAAGAGCTAGCTCCGAGCAAAAGTTCATTCTTAGTTCTTGAACCCACGTCCTTTTAGACATGAGCCTAAATCTAGCACCTTAGATCACTTGACCAAATTGACTTGTTATTAACTATATTACTTCCTTCCTTCCATGTTCTAGAGGTCTAATTCAAGCATATACTAGCAATGTCTAACTAAAACATCTGGCCTTAGACCACTCGATCAAATTGTCCTATTATAATGTTTTAACTACGTTACTTTTGTCCTTCCATATTCTAAATGTCTAACTCAAGCATATACTAACTAAAACATGTCTAAATCAAGCATATACTAACTAAAACGTTACTTTTGTCCTTCCATATTCTAGATGTCTAACTCAAGCATATACTAACTAAAACATGTCTAACTCAAGCATATACTAACTAAAACATCATCATATAAGGCATATGATTCTTTAAAGCAAAATCAATTTCATGACTAAAATTTCTTTAATGACAACTGTGGGATTTGAACCCACGCCCTTTCGGACCAGAGCCTAAATCTGGCGCCTTAGACCACTCGGCCAAATTGTCTTATTATAATGTTTTAACTACGTTACTTCTGTCCTTCCATGTTCTAGATGTCTAACTCAAGCATATACTAGCAATGTCTAACTAAAACATCATCATCTAACTCAGGCATATGATTCCTTCGCAAAATCAACTTCAATGACAATTGTGGAATTTGAACCCACACTCTTTCGAATCAAAGCCTAAATCTGGCACCTTAGACCACTCGGCCAAATTATCTTGTTATTATGTTTGAACTATGTTAGTTCTTTCCTTCCATGTTCTAGATGTCTAACTAAAACATCATCGTCTAACCCAGGCATATGATTCCTTAGCAAAATCAATTTCATGATTTTAATTTTTTTAATGACAACTATGGTACTTGAATCCACACCCTTTTGCACCAAAGCCTAAATTTGGCACCTTAGACCATTCGACCAAATTGTCTTGTCATTATGTGTTTTTTCTTCTATGGGTCTTTCGACATTCTAGATCGAATACGATTGATGACATACAAATGAAAGGTTAGTAAACATATTAGTCTAGGAAAGTAAGTACATCTACCCTGTTTTTGTGTCATGGTCTCAGATTGCAATGTCATCGTCAGCCATACAAGAATGTCTTGCTTTTACCTGAAATAGAAGCAGCACACGACTTGAGTATTTTAAATAAATACTCAATAAGTGACTCTACTTTTTGTTAGGATCGCACAACAATGCACACACTCGATCTAGATGAACACAAAGAACAGGATAGAAAACATTGCAAGGAGAACTCTAGCTAAAAGAATTTGTATTGATGACTTCACGTACGTACAGTAAGAGAGAATACAGAGAATACAAAAAGTACATTTTCAAAGCTTTACCGGACGGGATATATATATAGTTCAGTTTACTATATATAGCTTTACCAGATTTAATCATATACTATATATAGCTATTTACTATATATAGCTTTACCAGATTTAACCATCTACTATATATAGCTATTTACCATATATAGCTTTACCAGATATAACCGTTGACCAAGCTATAAATAAGCAGTAGGCTCCATAACCTAACAATTCTCCCACGGAGACTGATCTAATCAACCAAGAATTTCATTCTCAAACGATCATGAGTATCTTCACTGCACCATATCAATTGAGGTTTTGCACAACCTTAGTATTCCAACATCAACACATTTTGTCAACATGATTGCTGGATTCTTTGCACCCTCTATCTTCTCAAAACACATCACCATCTTCCATTAACCTGCAAGAGAAATGGTATCGCCTTTCGTGTTTTATCTTTAAATGATAGGCCGGGTTCCTCACCAACTGTATGACACTCTGACTATCTCTATAAAGAATCTTTTCGTGCTGCTTCTTGCCCAATTCTTCCAGATAGTCAGTCATCCATATTGTCTTCTTTCCAGCTTCAGCTATTGCCACGTACTCAGCCTCAGTACAACGTATTTTTGAAGCCTAGACGTCCCATCATCCATGGCTTGCTCTCACTTGGTTGTATCCTCCAACTGTAGGGCCTCCTCAAAGGGTTGTGGTTCCCTTTCATCAGCAACAGATAGTGTAATGAAGGTACATACATATCTGGTACTCTGATAGTGCTGGATGATCTTCTCAACACCAGTTCAGGTGTCACTTGCTCCACTGCTGATTCCTCTACAGTAGTCTTAGAAGTTTCATGAGTATCTGCTACAACATCACTAGGTGAGTTTTCTTGCAACTCAAGCTCAACTCCCACTTGCTTCATGGTCTTGGAACCATGCTCCACATCTGGTTCCTCAGCAGTAGTCTCAGGAGTTTCATGAGTATCTGCTACAACATCACTAGGTGAGTTTTCCTACAACTCAAGCTCAACTCCCACTTGCTTCGTCGAACCTTGCTCCAGATATGGTTCCATTTCCAACCGCACTTTCTTCAATTATCTGGCGGTCCTTGTGAAGCTAACTTGTTTCTGCTTGCTCATAACGTAGTTCTCACAACGACCCACATCAACAGATTTCAGACCTTCTAAAACTCCTTTCGCAGCCAGCCTCTTCATTCCTTTCGCGCTCATATGTTCAAGTCTTTGGCACAATAGACTTGAACTTGAAGCACTCTCAGCAACAGCAGCTATGTTCATACACCCTGCAGTGGTGTATAAGATTCCAGATTTTGAGCCACGTGCTACTACCGTAACTCATAATCTTCCATGAACTCTTTCCTAACTTTGTTGCATAACCTGTGCTGTCCAACTGACCAATAGAGATCAGGTTTTTCTTGAGACAAGGAATATATCTGACATTCTTTAATGTCCACTGATTTCCTGCCGGAGTTTTTATGCAAACATTCCCTTTTCCTTTAATCTCCAAATCTTTGTTGTTGGCAAGATACACCTCGAAATTTTCAGACTTGAAATTCCGAAACAACTCTTTATTTGAAGAAGAATGAAAAGATGCACCTGAATCCAAAATCCAGGATTCAATCGAACTGTCCACGCTGAGGACTAGAGCATCCCCAATGTCTTCTGCTGAATTTATAGAATAATCATTATCTACAGATTTGTGGTTCTGCTTCCTCTTTGGTCTTGTACAACCTGTCCGAAAGTGATTTTTTTCTCCACAATTCCAATACTTTACGTTTGGTTTATTTAGAGATTTTTCTCGGTTCTTTGATTTTGATCGCCCTTTGTTTGGGCCCTTCGGTTTACTTCTTCCCCGTTGGTCAAGACTGAGAGCACTACCAAATGAATTTTCAATTTCTCGTTTGCGAGTACTTTCGCTGAGAACTACATCTCAAATTTCATCGAACTTCAGTTTATCAGATCCTCGGGAACTGCTGATTGCGGCAAAAATAGTATCCCACGACTTGGGTAAAGATGACATCAAAATCAATGCTTTAATTTCATTTTCAAAATTAATTTCCACCGAACTCAGTTGACTTACGATCATATTGAATTCATTTATATGATCCACAACAAATCCACCTTCAGACATCTGTAGATTGAACAATCTCCGCATCAAATACACCTTGTTCATAGTCGACGGTTTTTCGTACATATTCGACAGCGCCTTCATCAGATTTGACATTGTCTTCTCCTTGAGGATTTAAACGCCACGTTTCTAGATAGCATCAACTAGATCAGCCCTAAAACTTTTCGATCCTTGAGCTTCTATTGCTCCGTGGTCATGGTATCCGGCATCACTCCCAATAGGGATTCATAAAGATCTTTCTGGTACAGATAATCTTCAATCTACATCTTCCAGAAATTGAATCGGATCCATCAAACTTCTCAATTCCAATCTTTGAACTTTCCATCGTCACAGATCATGGTGACTTCCGCTTAGCTCTGATACCAGTTGTTAGGATCGCACAACAACGCACACACTCGATCTAGATGAACACAAAGAACAGGATAGAGATAATTGCAAGGAGAACTCTAACTAAAATAATTT